CGAGTCCTACTTATTGTACCTTTTGATGCTAAGTTTTGGAAACAAACGATGTGATCTCGGTTATCTTCAACTTTGGCGAATAAATTTATAGCGCAATTTGATGAGCACTTTACGAAAAGGGTACTACTGAAGCTTAAGTTGTGAGCTGCATGTATGGATGACTGTTTCGTCATTTGAGTAGGATTTTTAAGACAACAAATATGGCCAATATAATATGAGATGTGATCACCCTATTTAGACATTCATATGAGTAGAGCAGAAGTTTCCATTACATTTCACATAACCGTACTTTCCTCAAAACCGGTTGTCATCCCCGCTGGACTGGCGTGCATTTTCGACCTCACCTGGTTCTTATCAACAGCCCAAGCGGGATTCGAACCATGATAGTGTAGTCTGTAATCTCGACGCGTCAAATACTACGTCACATTGCCATTATTGCCCTTGAGCTGCAGGTCAGATGTGAATTTGTCGGTGAAGCAAAATTGTATTTGCTATGACAAGCGACTAAATTGCTCATTTTTCGTTCACAAGTAGGATTTCGAGACCACCAGTAAATCAGTAATATGAGATGTATTCGCCCTATTTATTTTATGGTGATGAAGGACAATAATATTTAAAATAAAATCAAAACCTGAGACCTACCCATCTGAGTGTTAGAAAATTCAACAACCAGTCCTTCATCGTGTTAAATGAAATAGGATAAATACATTTAACATATGTGAATCGTTTAGACCAATCAGGTCACTTTATATATCAAATTGTCTATCTATGTATGTTCATTCCTTTATAGTTGTGACTATATATTGTAGGGTTGATAATTAGTCTTTATAAGAATGAGCCTATTTCGATCCAGATCGTTATCCTCAACGACGTAGTAAAGTTGAACGATTTGTGGAAAGCCCTCGACCCCACTTATACACAAGACATTTGTGTGCCAAATACATTCTATGCTGATGATGAATGTAGAACTCTGCGACCACATACTCTACTTCGAGGGTGATGTCACAGAGGCACGAGGACTGAAAGCTGCCAAGGTGACGAGACCCTTCGTGGAAGGCAGCTTCGACGTAGGCGACGCCAATAAAACGGGCCAAATGGGCTGATTTCGCTCGTTCGCCCGCTTGATTGTGCCAACGAGACCATTTGAAGCGAGCCTCAAGTCTGAGATTCTGCACAAAACATCGACTGGCATCATGTCGATTCAACGTCTTATGGGATTATATTTGCTTCAAAACTGCTGTCTTGTTTGATCTGGAGACGCCGGTGTGGTGCTTGCAAAAACTCGAGAACATTACCTTAAGGGACTACGTTGCGAACCTCAAAGCAAAAACAATTTGAGGCAAAACTGAGGGATGCAGAGGTTGGTTGGTTGTACACGACAGGGTTGATTAAGAAAATTTCTGATATTTCATGAATAACGCAAAAGTGATATTAAGTTTGCAATAGAGTTGAAAGCGAAGTTTTAATAATTAAAGATCCTAATCAAACATATGAAGACCAAGATGTTGTGTGAAAGGAGACACAAGAATTATGTTTCAGTGAGCAAGTAAGAAAGTGCCAAAATGTAGAGGGCTTACGAGGATAGATTAAAAGTGATTGCATCAGAACAGAAGAAAAAATATGACGAATGTTCAGTTGGCAAGTGGAGAAAGGATCGAATTCACTTGTCTTTTTGACGAGCTTTCGTTTGGTGCTAAGAATGGCCGGCTAAACGCCTGCAAATGTACCAAGTACACGGTCCGAGTATGCAAATTGTCACGTTGTGTCCCTCCAGATCCTCTTGACAACACGAGCTAGTTGCGAAAAGAAGGCTAACTATATACGATGTGTTCACCCTATTTCCTTCAAGATGATGAAGGATTGGTAGTTGAATTTTCCAACAACCATATGAATAGACCTTACGTTTGCATCGAAGTTCACATAGACTTGTTTCCCAGACTGAGGAGAATACCTCTTCCGAATCAAGTCTATTAAAAAATGTAATGAATAATCTATCAGTACTTCATCACTTTCAATTAACTAGGGTGAACAAATCTCATATATCCGATTTAGTGGTAGTCTCGAAAGCTTATTTACAAACGAAAAATAAAACAAGGCAGAACAACTTTAAAGTTTTTGATAAATTGGGTTTGTGCAGACTTTGTTTCACCAAACCGACCGGGTGTAGATAAATACATTTGTTGAATAGATGTTTGTGTTTAGAAGGGTTAAATCGATCGACTGGCAACTTGACGCCTTAGAAACCGGTATTCTTGCTACTTACGACAAGAGGGGAGAGATTTCTCTTTCTTTTTTTAGCTGAAGATAATGGCTATAGACTCATTTAGTTCATACAGCAATATGCAGCGATCTTCACACGCTAGTCATAAGAAACGAACTTTGTGAAAAATTCCGAGGAGTACCACTACAAAATTACCACCGAAAACTCTTCAGGATATACGCATACTTTTTCGATACGGCTTATTATCAGCTATCTTAGAGCAAATATGTCAAATCGTGCAAGTTGCTAATGCATGTCACACGTAAAATTTCGTCTTCTCGTTATTTCCTGTGCTTTGCTCTCCATACTACTTTTCATATGCCTCCTAAAAGGTATTCTCACACACTGTGAAGTTGACTTTCATTTTGGGTGAAACAAGTGAAGAAAAAATGCTTGAATATGGTTGTCAAGATGATACCCTACTCGGATGATGTCCGTCACACTTTCAGAGGCATTTTCCACTAAGGACAATCGACAGCTTGTCAAAAGGAATCCGTCGTCTTTTTCTGGTGGGATAGACCTTCAAATCTCTTCACCAAACGCTTTCACTCGAAATGGAAGTAAGCGCAGCAAATATGAAACAAACGATTCATCGAAACCCACATTTTCTTCACATGCACAAATGGCCCTGGGCCACGGGTTAGACATAACTTTCAAGCAAAATGGTACTTTGGTCGTAGATATGGAAACCAAAATGTTGTAGCCTCCGTTTGGTCGCTCTCATTTATCCGTAAGGTGTCGACTTGATCTCGTGTTCGCAACTTGGTCCGAGCGATAAGGAGACCTTGTGGAATATAGCTTGGCCTGCCTTCTATGTCAGAGGATTCAGGATGACTTCCAACATCGGACTGTTGACCGTCAACTTGGTACATTCTTAAACTTTTTCGCCAACAAATTTTCTCTTCAATAGTTTCGGCATTACTCCTTGCCTCTATTTTTTGTCATACCTTCTAGTGATGCATCTCTTTCTCTCAAACCCACTTCATTTGGCCCATTCACCCAGTCATACCCTTCTGTGTTTTCGTTTCCTCCAATGTCGATGTGATCAAGCATAATCCTAAAGTTCCAGTCATTTGTGCATATGCACATTGTTTGGTAGCCTCCCTAGTCCGGCCTGTCACCATTCACCTCTTACTACAGGCACACATGCAAAAATGCATACAACTATACATGTCCATGTCCATGCACATACACACACCCACACACAATTGAATTTCTCACCCTGGTCACATGGAAACGACAAATTGAACGATTTCTTGATCTTCTCAAACGACATGGATGAAGAAGTCAAATTAACGATGGATGCTGAAGAGAACGGGCACTTGTATTTCATGAATGTGGATGTCATTGGCTCCGAGGAGACTCTCAAGGGACGGCTATTCCAAATGCAATCACAGCATGCAGAACTAATCCTCAACTTCCAGTCTCAGCCTACTTATGGAAGGAAGATTGAGATACTCACGAGTATGGTTATAAAATGCCAACCACTCACCGATTCTGAATTTTGGGAAGATGAACTGTAAAAGTTAACTCAGATATTTCTTGGAAACGGATATCATAGAGAAGCAATACAACGCAACACAAGGATTGTGATAAGTAGATGATAGGATGGGGATTATGAAAGTAAAGCAATGGAGCTAGAGGAAAACCGATTGATATGTCTTCCCACCGGCAAACACTTTTAGAAGCTACGGCCGTTACTATTGAAATGGAACATTCATACAATCCTGAAGGAAAGGACAATCCTATTCACCAGTTTGCCCACACAACATGGATAAATTGCGAGGACTGTAAGCAAAATTACATCGGAGAGATACAAAACTCAAAGAACACCAGCGAGTTTGCAGAATAATGGGTACGGAAAGATTGGAGATAACTGAATAGATTGCCATGACCGGTCACATGATTGGCCGGAATGCGAAGGAAAGACTGGCGTCACGTGGGGAGAACACCAGAAAACAGAAGATCAAGGAGGCTACGAGCATCCTGTTTCAAAGAAACCCGATGAAGTGGAGATTGGAAGTGGGAGGAGTCGGCGACATGGAAATTCAGCGAGGACAGAGTAGGGAAGACAATTGGACCAAAGACATGCATTCTGCAACAGGAATAGAAATCACCAAGAAGCGTATGATGAGAGCAAGGAAGGAAAGTCAAGAAACGGCGATTGCAATGAAAGCAGTCAAAGATAGGATCAGCTTGAAAAGTTTCCAGTGTGGGTCCACCTGTGGGATGTGGGATGTGAAATTAAAGGCCAGAAACATGCAAATTGTACATCGTTAGAGATGTTAGGCTAAAGATATAGGTCCCTATCAAATTCGTCATGGTGTGAAAACCGACTTGAAGAGAACAATATCAATTGGTCTCCAGTTGTGTGCATGTGTGTGTGTGTGTCTGTGTCTGTTATGATAGGTGGGTGTATACATGCCTGGCTAGGGAGGGTACCAACCAACGTACGCATGCACAACTGACTAGAACCTTAGGATCAGGGGAACAATACAACTTTACGTGATTAAGGAGTGGAGAAGGGAAGAGGTCCGTGTTAGAAACAGCGGTTCTGAATTATTCTTCTCCCCGGAGACTGATAGAGAATGGGATGGGGATGAGCGATAGGATAAGTGGAGCCTAAAGGGAATAAAATGCCGGTCTTTAAATCCTTGAAGTTGGCGTAAACGGGGACTGGAATCGAAGGCCAACTGGCAACCAGACGGGGATTTTCGTTTGTGGCAGGGAAAAACTGACAAGCGGTTAAGCTTAGGCGACTTTGGAGGAAACGAGAATACGGAATGGTGTGAATAGACAAATGGGTGATATGAAGTGGGATTGTGGGAAAGAGATGCAGCACAATAAGAGAGGAGGAAAAAAAGGGACGAGAAATGATGCCAGGATGGTTGAACAGAAAATTGGTCATGGGGCATTAATGCCTTCATTTGTCACTTTGATAAGTTGTAATTGTGTTTTAAGCATGACGCCACTAACAGACGATGTCGGCGAATCGTCTTTTAGAGTTTACGAAAGCAACAGTCCGATGTTGGAATACTTTGGCAGAGAACACAATGCCTCCCTGTCGGTCAGAATAAGTTGCGAAGCCAAAGTCAAAAAAACGAAAGTAAACTGCGACCAAACAAGAGGCCACACAATCTTGATCTTCATTATTACATACTTATATTTTGCCATCACCGTCGAGCATGCTACTTAACTTGGCAGAAAGTAGTCTTCGAAACTACCGGCAGATTTGTAATAAGAAATCTAGTCATCTTGAGTGAAGTCAGCTTTTGGAAAGTTCAACATTACCTTGCGGCTTATTTGTGTGAATTAGTAAAAATGCAATAATCAGTCCTTCATCACCTCATGTGAACTTGGCCGCATCGCCGAAGTTGCCACTTGAAAATAAGAATAAGCCTAGATTCTGTATAAGTTCCAAGTTTTGGGTGAAGAGATTCGAAGGACGGTTCCACCAGAAGATGACGGCGGATTCCTCTTGACCAGCTGTCGATTGGCTTTATTGGAACATTCATGCTGACGTTGTTTCCAAGGCAATCTCCTTCGAAATCTCCGGTGAAAAGGTGCTAAGCTTTCGTCCATTATGTGACGAACATCATCAGAGCAAGGTATCATCTACACAACAAAATTCAAGCTAACGAGGCAAGAAAATGAATTTGGTTGTCCGTCATGTGACCTTTTCACCGAAATCGAATGAGATTGTCTCAGAAACAGCGTCAGCATGAATGTTCCAGTAAATTCAATCGACAGCTGGTCAAGAGGAATTCACCGTCGTCTTCTGGTGGACTCGACCTTCGAATCTCTTCACGCAACACTTTCAATTGAAATGGAAGTAACCTCAACAATTATGAAACCGAACTTTTCTTGCCAAGTTTTAGTGACCTCAATGTGAAAAGGTGTGAATTTGCTACCGGACTCGAGACATACGTCCGGGGCGTCCGGACGTTGTGTTCGAACTCGGCCAGAAAGACTC